TAAAATCTGTGTTAGGATGAAAAGAGCTAGGAGCCTCCTCCTGGAGAGAAGTCTTCCTACACTTGCCCTGCCAGCCCAGACACATGAATGAGGTCTTTCCAAGTTCTCTGGCTGGATTCCTCCTGGTGCCCCAGGCTGGGTGACACAGTTTGCAAAGGCTCCTTTCCGCTGCTCTCACATTTTAAATTGCATGCACGTCAGCCTGACCACAAATGCAGCAGAGCTATTCTATCAGGAGCAAAGCAATGGTCCAGAAAATGCCACACGGAAGCAGCTGCAACAACATCAGTGGTGGTGTCCCAGGAGGGAAGGACCAGTTTTTCAGCAGGAGGTGAGTCATATGCTTTTTGCATCGAAGTACTTGTTTGAGAATATTGACTACAGATTCTGCTGCTGAATTTACTTTCTTCCTACTTCACTGTAAAGTGTAATAGTAAAATATTCCCTAAACTCTTTGGGATTTTAATTAATGGGTTTGCCTTATGAAAGTAGAATAAATAAGTTATTACAACTGCTCGTTCCAGTAAGATATTACTTTCCAGATGGGAGGCTCTCAGTTTAGTCCATAGCTATAAAATCTCTCTTCTTGTAGAGAGATGTTATGTGTAAGTGGTAGCTATTAACTTTCTTTCCTTAGCATCAGTGACTAGCAAAACCATTTAAAAAGGAGACTTCACAAAATTGCACCGTAAAAATGGCAATAGCAGCTCACTCTTCCAGTGCCCTTGCAGAGACCACGCAGAACACAGTTGTTGCACATCTCCAGCTGCTGCCCTCTGTGTACCATATCAGATTTTTGGGTTTTCTCTTGACCAGCTTCTTGGAAAGGTCCTTTCAGGTATTTTTGTGACCAAGGAACATAAATTTTAAACGAATCAGCAGAAATAGTATCAGAAAAATTATTTGGAGCAGAGAAGGGAGAAATTTCTTGGCTGAAGAATGGCTTTATCAGAAAGGGGTATATAATCACGCATAGTAACTGTTGAAAAAAATAGATCATATGATTTCTTATACAGCAGTGTAAATCAGAAGTTTTTCTGGCAGAGCCAGAGTCCCAGATTCAATAGCAGAATGCTAGTGGTTAACATTACTGTAAAGCACACTAAAGTAAAACACATTAATTCTACGGAAACTCTTAACATACTCAGTGCTGGTAACACATTACATCTTAATATTTTGACTTATTGCCATTTTTAGCATTGATTGCTGTAAAACTACAATTTTCTCACAAAAGAAATTAAATAACCCTATTGTATATTGCTGTTTGCTCTCTACCAGCTCACCCAAAATGTCTGCCAAATGAGGAGGAGGAAATATTGCATTTCATTTTAAGTTGAATAAATGAATTTTAAAACGTTAAGATAATGGATGAGAATTTTCTGAATGTGGGTCAAGTATATCAGTGTTATTTCATCCAGTAATGAGTAAGAGCAGAATTAACTGCATTTCATAACTTGTCTGTGTATCTGTGTCTATGTGTATCCATGAACACAGATCCTCTGTTGCAATTTTGAGAAATACATGGAATTCCTTCCTGCTATAAAATTAGTGGTGTCTGTGACACATTTATTTTCAAAGTACAGTATTACTGAGGGGTAATGTTTTGCTTTTGCTAAATGTGTGTGCACTTGCTTGCAACATGATCCCTGCCATTACTAGTGGTTGGAGGCTCCATCTGTAGAAGCAGTGTGCTTGGACACCACTCTTGACTTTAATCACTTCCTTGTAAACACTCCAATGGAAGCAGAGGGGGTTTGATGATTTCCCTTATAGAGCTCAGAATTTCTGATTTCTCACTTTGTTTTAGTTATAAAAAAAACCAAAACAGACTCCAAGCAGTATTATCAGAAACAGCAACATCTAGCTATCTCAAAGCACAGGGGGTTACATGCCTTTCTCAGAGAATCATAGAATCATACACACATGGAATCATGGAATCATGGAATCATAGAATGGCTTGGGTTGAAAGGGACCTTACAGGTAATTTAGTTCCACTCTGCCATGGGCAGGGACACCTTCCACTAGAGGATGTTGCTCAGATCCTCGTCTAGCCTGGCCTTAAGCATTGTGGGGATGGGTCATCCAAAACGTCTCTGGGCAAATTGTTCCAGTGTTTTACCATCCTCTAAATAAGAATTTATTCTCCATATCTAATCTAAACCTCCCCTCTTTCTGCTTTCAGCCATTCTTCCCTGTCCTATCCCTACATGCCCCTTGCAGGAAGTCCCTCTCCAGCTCTCTTGCAGGATCTATTTAGGGACTGACAGTCCACTCTGAGGTCTCACAGAAGCCTTCTCAGCTCAAAGATGAACAGCTCCAACTGTCTCAGCCTGTCTTCATAGGAGAGAAGTTTCTATCCCAGAGACATTTGATCATCTTTGTGTCCCTCCTGTGAGCTTTTTCCCACAGGTCCATGTCCTTGATTTGTTGAGGGCCCCAGAGCTGGATGCAGTATTGCAGGTGAAATATCTGTAGAACCAGGCCAGGTCTAACATATATTTTTGCATTTAAAGCTCACAGAAAGTTTCCTGCATTATTTTTGTTTCTTTGCACTCTTAATAATTCTGAAATGCTTCTCCTGAGACTGTCCCTAGCTGTCTGGTTGGCTGAGAGTGGTCCTGGCACAGGAAAGATGCAGCTGAGATAAGCAGACTGGGAGGGTTTGGAGAAAGCCTTTGCAAGATGACTGAGCTCTGGCAGCAGGCTACCCTTCCAGGCTGCTTGCACAGGCGTTTTTCAGGGTGCTACAGGAGCAACTAGGGACTAAAGGCAAATTCAGGCTTTGCTTTAACTCCCTTTATCAGCATGGATAAAAATATGGCGCTGGTTTAGTGATAGCAGTAAGTAAAGGAAGATAGCGCTCCAATGAAGCTCTCATTTCTATGGGATGCACTACAAATCTTAAGGAATCCTTAGGACTGTAAATTCCACAAGAATGAATAAAAAGCCTTCCTTTGCTATTCAAGCTGCATGCCAGTCTGGAGCTTCAAGACCATTAGCTGCAAAATGAATTGCAAGTAAATGGAAGGTTTAATTGTGCTTCATTTTCTTGCCAAAACCACAAGAAGCCCACCTAGTTTTATTAATGAACTGGAAGAAAAATAAAAGAAAAATGAGAAAGCTTTAACTTAGTTTTAATAACAAAAATCACTCAATCATTTGAGCCAGTTCTACTGATATGCTCTACAAGGATCAGCGTGTGTCACCGTATGGAGCAGATCAAAGATTTTCCAGTTTTCTTCTCAATACTGAGGAACCATGAAAAAAATTAGAGCCAGACTACAGATGGTGGAGAGCCTTATGTGTTGGTTTCCTGTGCATTTCCATATAGCACACACTGCATGTATCAAGCACAACTAAGCAGCCAAGGGAATGCTATTATATCGCTTAAGTTGTCCATCTTTAAACCTTCATTTCTGAAAAAATATACCATAAAGAGAGGCAGAACATACAGCAGATGCTCTTGAATACTGTATTATATTTTCATCAAATCACCCAAATTGTGGATTACAGACAAACGTGTTTACTAAATTAAGGAATTTCTTCTAATCTGGCAATTATAATCTATAATTTGCTGGTTTACCCTCCATTTACTTCAGTACTTCTTTCCTCTTAAACAGGAAATGGGGACTCAAGTGGGCTACACCCCAATGTTTTCAGCATACCCTGGTGACTGAGCAGTTGCACCTGAGCTGGGGGCATTGGTGTGGCCATGCTGCCATGCACAGCTGCCACTCCTCTATTGTCCCACACTGTTCAGCACCAGTTTCCACAATCCTCTTTACAGGTCTTAAAGGTATTTTCCAACCCAAATAATTCTTTGATTCTGCAACTATGAATTGCTGTTGGAATTCTGTCACTGCTACTTAAGGGAAAAGGAAAGAGAATAAAGCAAGACTATGTCAGGAAACATTTTACCATCTTATAAAGGATGAGCTATATGACAACTAGTTTGTAGGCTGCCTAAACTGTCCTAGATTACTGTTCCTCAGTTTCAATCAGTTTGAAGTATTTAACAGTGCAGGTCACCAAATTGGATCAGATTGAGCCATTAGGCTTGGATCCCAGTCTGGAACATTTTGAGAAGATACTGGTGGACTTTTAAAATCTTATCTCTGGGAAAGCCTTCAACAAGATAAAGATTCTGATCTACATTTTTTTACATTTAGATCATATCTGGTGTTAGCAAGAGCCAATTTTAAAGAACCACTTGGTTTTCACACATGACACTTCATCAGTCATATCACTTGCTCTCACAGCTTGCCTTGTAAAGGCTCTTGTCTTTGCACATGTATCTCCCTTGGGTCTCTCACATACCCAAACAGACCACTCGCAAAGGGAAGAGGAAGGCACATCCAAGAACAAGCAATGCTAAAGGTCAGTGCTTTTCCAGGCCTTAACTGAGAAAATTGTAATTCAGAAATATTTCAGATTCTGCAGCCTTCCATTTGAACTTTCTGAAGGAAACTTCAAGGAAATAAGATTTGGCACTAATAGTAACATCAGGCTGGTGGGCCTGACATATGGACTTCCCACCCATTTTCTCATCAGCCTTCTCAGATGTCATGGGACCTGGTGGCAAGGGGATTGGTAAAACAGCTGCAGCAGGGCTGGGCAGGGCTGCTAACAATCCTCTGCTTAGTGATAGAGAAGATGAGAATTAATGATTCCTTATTCTCAAGAGATATCATTTATATGATGGGAAGACCTGGAAGAGTGGACCAGAAATGATCTTTGTGAAAAGTAATTTTTTTATATTGTGATGCTCTCAGAGGGCTGACAACTGAGAATTTCCCCCATGACTGTCACCCCAAGGCCAATGACAAGCCAGCTTAGGATTTTGGTCAAGGGAAAGAGGAGGACCCTGTCTTTTACCAGATCATCTTGGCTTTGTTTTCAGGCCACACTGCTACAGCAGCTCATAGATATTCTTCCTGCTGTGCTCTGAGAGCGACAGTAACTGTATGGAATCAATATGGTTAGTCCATTGTCCAGTTTCCCTAGCAACCACAAGACAATAAGACTTGTCTCTCATTAACAACACGTTACGCTTCCCTTTACTGATGCAGCCTTTCTGAAAAGGCATGAGGTTCTTACAGACCTTTCACTGTGAATGAATATCATCAGGGACTTGGAGAGGGTAACTACTTTCACCCACACATTTGCAGTTGCATTCACATGAAACAGCCTTGTCTATAAAGTTATAAGCTCCTAGACTGAAAATGAAGAATATGGTACTGTGACATTTGCCAAGCACCCTTTCAGTTGCTTTCATCTTTGTTTTGGTTGAACATGTACACACATACATTGGAGAACGTTCTCTGAATTCTGCACTTCTCTTGAGGCCTTTGTGAGCAGGTATGATGGTTCGAGATCTGAACTGAGCTAAGAGAACACATTTGTTTTTCTTCTCATCATTACTAATCACTCATCAATCAATCATCACTAATGGAGAGAAACTCATTTAGAATGCAGTTTTGGTTGGCCTTGGTACTTCCATTCAGACTTGTGGGACTGTTGTGTTTATAAGTCTACAAACACTCCAACATCAGCCTCTTCCTCCTGCTGTACAGTGTGTTCTCCCAGTATCTTCCCAGTTACTGGGTACTGAGGGTTTACTGTCACAGACATTTCTAACAAACATGAGGAAGGACATGGATGTAGCAACTTTGCCTCTGAAACACTGGCTGAGGTGGGGCAGATGCTGGGCTCCCCTTGTACCCTGCTAGCGGGAGCCAGGCAGCTCCAGGTGGGGAAGGAGTCATTCCCAGGAGACACAGGAGGGACAGAGACATCTGAGGGCCTCCTGCAGATTATTGGGAATGAATATCAGGGCAAGTGACATGATCGAGGCCTGAAGTCTTGCTTCTCATGGCAGAAGCAGGATATTGGCATCAGCTGAGGGTGCAGAGCAGGACACTGCAGCCCAGGAGCGGGCAGGTGTCCGTCCTTAAGCGAGGAGGAAGCTTCTCCTGGTGCTGCTGCATCTACCGCGGATTGATGGAAGACCTGTTCTTCAGTGAGGGACGTCAGGGAACTGTGCAGAGTCCTGTAATAAAAGCTCACTGAAAGGGGTGGGGATTTAGCCTGGTATAAAGCTGAGCAGTTGAATTTTTTATGGCTAAAATGTGACTGATTTGCAGCTGTAAGTTTTCCATACAAAGCCAAATAATGTCCACCTTATAAATCCTGGAGCTGCAGTGTGGGCCAGGCTTTAAAGCCTGTGAGATATGGAAATTAATTACAAACAGGATTTGCAATTCTTTTGGGGTGGAGAGACAGTCTTGTGTCAACATTTTGACTTGCAAATATTCTAAAATGTCTCACACCAGAGAAGAACTAAATCTGATTTTTCCAGGCATATAATGACTTGTACTAATTAAAGAGCACTGCTCATATCTGGGCCCAATAAATGTAAGTGAACAAAGCAAAAAGACATGCAAATAAAAAAAAGATCTGATATGGCATGGTGTAAAGTTTAGTCCAAATAAGGTTATGAGTGGGTTCTTCATAGTGCTTCATTGACAATAAAAAATGTATTTAAGGCAGTAAATGTACAACAGCTGGCAAATATCACGTGCCAAGTCTTATTTTAGATTAATAAGAGAAAACTGAAGCTTATTAAACTGCTGCAGTGATTCCCAGGATAGCCAGTTGGATTTTTAGTTCTTTCTAGTGCTACTAAATTAGTAACCTACTTTAGGGGACCTGTGGCCTTGAAAATGGAAGAATACACAGAAATTGTTGGATCGATGAAAACAAAGCAAAAATAAACCTGAGAAAAGCAAATAGCCCATCCCAGCCTTAGTTCACTTAAAATGACTGAGAAGCACAGACAGGAGAGTGTGACAGTCAGTTTAATAGCCTCTGAAATATTTTAATAAAATTTCTTATTTTAAATGCTATTTACCATCTGCTTGCAATGACACACATTTTAGAAAAGTTTCATTAGGTGAAATCTGCAGTTTGCTGAATCTGCAGGTTTAGAGCTGTCAAGCTGTGTGGTCACTCAGGGTTGGTTTTGCTTGAAATGATGTAGGGAGGTGGTGGCCCAGGAGCTCCCTTGGTCCCCTTGGTAGCTGGTGTTATGTGGGACACTTGCCTGTTCCATGCCTGGATTCTGCTCTGAGGTGTGACCTTCCTCTTGAGGGGTTTTTTGCCCTTGCTTTTGGTTTTTGTACGGGTTCAGCCCTCTAAACTTCATGGTTGTGCTCTGCAATTGTGCTTTAGTTTGTAATGTGTGAACAGCAATGCTGGAGAATTTTCCTGGAGCAGCACTGACCTTGAAATTCTCCATCTCTTAACCTGGCAGAGCTGAATTTCACCCACCTCCTTTGCAGGAATATGCCTTGAAATTCAAAGGGTTTTTAGACAGCAATATGTGATTATAAAATCTGGGTATGTTTCGTTTTCTTTCCAATATGAATGCACAGATATGTGCACAACTGTGAATTGGGGCATGTCCCTAAGATAAAAAGTGCTTGTCGCAAGGACTGTGTGTTTTCAGATATAAATACAAACACATTACATGAACATTTTTTTATTTTATTTTTGTTATTTATTTCCGGGTTTTTTTCAGTTTTACAAAGCAATAAACTCCTAACTGCAGAAATGTGGGCAGGAAATATAAAAATAAGATCCAATCTGAGGAAGAGTGGGCTGATAGATCAGATGGAAAAATAATTCAAAACATATATATTCAAGAAGAAAAATAAAAGATAATTGGAAAGCAGTAATATAGAAGAGACCTAAGGGTAGCATCAGACAGGAAATTACAAAGCCATTTCAAATGCAATGTAATCATTACTTACATGAAATAATAATAATATTTTATCTATCTGACTGAAGATCTCAAAATGATTCATGGGTTTCATACATTGCAATCATTTTTTCCATCACTGTGAAACATTTGTCTTCAAGGTGCTTTTTCTTATATTTCATATTTTTGCTCCCCTTAAAATGCATGTGATCTTTTGTAATTATATTTTGCTGATTTGGTTTCTGCTGCAGGATGGTGGGGGTCATGGCAGGACTGACAGTGCTGTTGGAGGGGTGACAGCAGTGGCTGAATTTTGTTGAAGCTGTGTTTGTGTGTTCAGAGGGGCTGCTGGTGGGAATCACCCTTCCAGGGACTTCCCAGTTTCTTTTTAAAGATCCTTAGTTTTGCAGAAAGCATTCAGCTGGAGCTTTCCCTAGAAGCTCAGTGTCCTGTTCCTGCACACAGCTGTTCAGGGAGCCCTGAGGGAGAGGGAGTTTTCATTGGTAGAGATTTTCAAGCAAATACTGGTTTGGAGAAAAAATGGCTTGTGCAGAACATTGTGGGTTTACACTTGACAAACAGACAAGCTTTGAGCAATTTTATAGCACCGGGGTGATCCATAAATAGAACTCATTAATTAAAAGCTTAACAAAGGACCCATTATTATGTATTTAAAAAAAAAAGCACTCCAATTTGTCTTTTTTGGGGTGATGAACTCTTGCTGGGTGTGCTTATTCTTAATTCAATAATCATAGAGCCCTGTTTGCCTATATGGATATCTAAATCAACCATTCAGTACACAGCGCCAGGGTTAGAGGAATAGTTTCTACAGCTATTCTCTGCTACTTCCTGGAATTTCAGTTAAGGTAACAGAACACTTTTAAATGCCTTCATTTTCTACAGTCATTCATTTTATCCATAATATTAAAATAATATCCTGTTATCCTTCTCATCAGCACTCTATGATTTTATCAACTGGCCTTATCACTTTCTCATGTGATTTTTTCTAGGATTCTTGATAAGCAGAGAAGAACAAGACAGAAAATATGACTCTTGAGGAAACACCCAATGTTCAAAGCCAACAGCTGCATGCACACTGTTGCAACGTACAGTAGAAGCTGTCAAATGGTTTATTCTGAGGAAAATTATTGTTCTGTGTATCCATAAAAAATGTAAGGAGAAGGGTTTTCAAATATGTTTATGAGTAACTCATCATTCCTCTACTGGTGTGTTTCTCTGTGTGTACCTACGCACTGCTTTCCGTTTATGTGATGGGGATTTTCCAGAGGGAGGTATTCACCACTGAAGTATTTGGATCCTGCAACTGCAGGTACAGCTTTGGATTTAGAAGCTGGGAGAGAGCCCAGATGCTTCCAGCTGTCATCAATTCCTGCTCTCTGAATTGCTTTGGATGCCTACTGCAGCTCCTACAGTTAACACATTCCCCTCCATGCAGTTTAGCAAAGGAAAAGGGCACAATCTTGACACTCTTCAGCTGGGCTTGCTTTGGAAGATACAAAGAGTAGGAAAAGTTCAGTCTTGCATGTTGAAATAATAAGGCCTATAAGGCTTTTTGTGGCATTATATAGAAAAGGGATTTTCTTGAGTGCTTGAAATGCACAAAATAGCTGTGGGGACAGCTAGACTCTGAAATGGGTGGCCTTTTCTTCTGGAGGTCTTCCAGTAATCTGTCTTTCCTTTCTAAACCCCTGTAAACTTGTAGCTGCAGTAGCATTTTCATAGCTCAGGAAAGCATTCTCCTGTTAATCCTCTCCATCACTGATGACTGTAGGACAATTATCAAATCTCCACCAGTGTTCTCTGTTCTCAAGTTGAACTGTGCTTGTCTGTTTAACTGTCTTTATTCTTGATATGGGAGATATTCCCTAAGTCTAGGATCATACACGTAGCATTTCTTTTCTTGTTTTCCAGTTCTCCTAAATCTCTTTAAGACTGGGAAATCAGTAGTGTGCACACCATTCAAGAAGTGGGCACTGCAAGGTTTTATACCAGGGACACACAGAGCACTATGATCACCTGAGTACTCGTGCTCTGCACAGGGGGCACACCCTGTGCTGCTCACGGAGCAGTCTGGCAGGTCCAGAAAGGTGTTTAACCCACCTTCTTCTCACAGGGCCCTTGTATGTCAGGGTCACTGCTGCAGATCCTGCCCCATGTTAAGCTCAACACTACAACCTAAAAAAAGAGAAGTATCCCTCATATAAAGAAAGAAGCATCATGAGGAAAAATGTTGTGTCTTCGAGAAAATTATTTGAAACCTGAGTTTGTGTGGTCAGATAATTTCTAAATTTTCTAAACCACTCACAAAACTACTCACTTCACTCACTTCTAACTTCCATGTGGAAAATAAGTACTAGAACAAAATTAATTAAGAAAGTGCACTTAGCAGGGTCATATTTTATGTCTTCATGTTTTCAATGTGTGCATTTTTCTGTTGACCACAAACTATTCAGCAATAAATCATACATCTTGACCTTAGATGTCTTTTCCTGTAAGTTAACCTCTTTCAAGAAATAATGCACTTTAGGCCTGCCTATTTTTTTTATTTTGTTGTAGTTTGTGGGTTTTTGTTGTTGTTGTTGTTGTTTGTTTGTTTTTTAATTCATAGTGCAACTTACAGGTACAACAGGTGGTTGTACACTTTTAACATCACATCTGTCCATATTAGGAGCTTACCTTTCACCCAGATGGAGGAAATAGAGGCCTGTGGTGAAAGCTTTTAGCTGTATTTCCATATAAAAACCAAATGCAGTTAACCACAGCAGAGAATCCAAGGCTGTGTAGATGTTAACGTGCGTAAACAATTTTTCATAATCCAAGGCTACTTACTATGCTTTTCCTCCTATGGTTGCCCATGAAAACTGGATCCAGCTTACATGTGTTACCATCATTCCTGCAAGGTAGATATATTTATTATATGTTTTATCATCTCAACTTTTATGGCTAGCAGCAATTCAGACAAAATGACTCATTTCGTCATTAAACACCTGATCCTATGATAAAATGTTGGATCCTATTGAAGATTGTGTCCCTGGAGGCTATAATGTTTCCAAAGATTGCGAAACAGAGGTGCTGTCTTCTCCAGTTCCCTTGTGACTTTAGATGTACTCATTAGAATTCCCAGCCCTTTGTTTTGCTCATTTTCCAATAGAGCAAAAACTAGGGATGATATATTTAACAGGGGCTGTAAGTGGCATTTTGATGGTAGAAAAGCTTTTGCCTTTCTAACAGTCCAACAGGACTTGCCTCTTCTCTTACCAAAACTGTAAATAGAAGCAAAATAATGGTAGTGTTATTAATACCTATCTTTATTAAACTCAGCTTGACATTTAAAGCTGAGTTTAATAAAGATAGGTATTATTAACACTAGCACAGATTCCTATTAATGTTATATAAACACTTGAGTTAATGGAATACCAGCAGTACAAAGTGAAATACTTGGGAACTTGGAGCAGTTTCAGGGGAGTTCTAACATGGACCCTTCTAGATGTGGAAGCTGAAAAGCAGATTTTGAATTCTGTTCAGCTGCCTAAACTCTACCTAAACTCTGGATGCCCAAACACCACTGAATGCTGATTTTTTTTACTCCAAGTTTCCCCAGGGGCTTTCTCTGCAAATGCAAAAGATTGTGGCATCTGTCTCAGGACTGAGTAATTAGTAATTATGTATGGAGAAATACCTAATGGTATTTCTCTGCTGAATTCTCCCAGGGGGCCATTTTTACAGCCAATCCATGTGTTAGGAGAGATGGGAGAAGGCAGGAGTGCATTTTACCTGTATTTTTTAAACTGTGTCACTGCACAGAGGAGTGGGGGTGAGGAAGAACCAAGAATCTGTGCAACACAGTGTGCAAGAACACATAAAGACCATAAATGAGGTTTTCCATATTTCCTGCACTCCAGATGAGTAATTTTGCTGACAGCTCATTTCCCTCTTTCCTCCTTCCTTTTCCCGTGCCCGTCTCTGCTCCTGCCTGCTGCACTACAACTCTCCTTCTCACATAATTCTTTACTACTGCACTTTCATTATCAGCTCTGTATCATCAGGTCACTGCTTCTACCCTGCCTTCAGATCCCAAACATTTGAGCAGTGGGATCTTAACATGCATACAGCTTTCTCATGCAGACCATGAGAGTAGTTCCTTTTTGCTACAGCTGCACAGAGCACCTTGAGAGGGTGAAGAGCCAATGGAGAAACTACAGAATAAGTCCCAATATAACTCTATGGACTCATGGGAAATGAAATTTGTCAGGGCTTTGTAACATAGTGTACTAGTGATTTTCTAAGGGACTTCAAAAAGTACATCCTACCTCTTACCATTCCACTAAATTCAAGCTCCTCCGTCCTACTAAGCAAGCAGAAGAATTTCTCAATAGAAATACCTTAAAAATTTTCTTTAACACAGAGAGAACATGTATTTTCCCTTGACCTTATCCTGGACAACAGCCACAGCTGGGATTTTAAAGCTTGCATGTGGAAAATTAAAAAGGGATCAAATTCCCTATTGACTTTAAAGTGCACAGTAACTGCATCTGCTTAAGCTATTGGCAAAATTGGCCTCTCATGTCTTCTCAAAAACGTTTCAAAATGATAACAATTTTTAATATAATTCTCAGTATGGTTAGTGAAAATGACTACTTGAATCGTGTTGGTTTAAGAAGTGTTTGTCACATAGCACTGGCTGCTACGAGTTTTTCTGTAATAGTGTGTAGCAACCTCTCCAAAGCACTTTAGCACAAAAAGTGCTCCAGACTCTCCCTATTGCTCACTTCTGAGTTTCAATCCATTGAATCATCTCACATGGTATCAGGATGCATTTTTTGCAATCTTCTTAACTTTGCCTGCTGCTTTAACAGCCAGTGTGCCCCAGTACAGTTCAAGCTGTATGGAATTCAGGAATAGGTGGTAGGACAAGATGACCCATCAGAGATTTGTGCTGAGATTAGAAAAACTGAGATTATCCAATGAATTTCTGTAAATACACAATAATAATTCAGCTGAAAATGCTGAAGTTTAAAAGAAGTAGATAAAAGGACATCTTCAAATCCTATGTGTCTTTTGTAATTAGTAACACTTTAAAAAATCAGCAAAGAATAGCTGATTTAGAGAGACGGTAAGGTGAACAGGGGGTGTTCACTTGCTGTTCACTTGGGCAGTGTGAAGGTCTTTGGTGAATAGGTTTTGTTCCTTGCATGCCTCACTCAGCTGCTTTCCTGGTCTGGCATAAGTTAGCAGAAGTGGAGCTGCGTGGTTTGCTTCCTTTCCAAACATCTGCCCTCGAGGATGTTTTTGTTTGTGCCTGCCCCAGAAACACAGGAGAATGGAGCTCCCAGCACTGTCCAAGCTGCTGTGGAGCAGCCATCTCCTCCCTGCCTTCCCCTCCTGCTCTCAGCACTGGGGACCTGACAGCCTCAGTGGTGGCCCTGGCTGGCAGCATCTCAGAGCTGTGTTTTTCTACCCCCTCTGGGCAGCCCCAGCCAGGCAGCAGCGTCTCACTTTGACAGGATAAGGCTGAATGGCAGAGCCTGTCCCTGCATGAGATGGAGGTGCTGGCCCTGGCACATGTCAGCTCAGCAGAGGTGTGCTGGCACTTGCATGAGATGCTTCTGGCTCCTGGAGGGTTTGTACCAGCATGGCCTGTGAAGCAAGGTGTCCCAACCCTGCAGGGAGGTCACAGAATAAATTAGTTCCTCCAGGGCACTGGCACAGCCTGGCTCAGTGTGCCAGCCCTGTGCTGCTACCAAGGAGTCAACAGACATTTTGCAATATCTCTCTCAGTCCCAAATGTGGCAATACATCTTAGATACTGCAATTCAACAGAACTCAGCAAGCTGTGTCCTTGTCTGGCCAAGTCTTTCCCTAAACAAGCTGACTTTATGAAAATATTTGGGTGAACTTCTGCTATGGAGTTGGGCTTCAGTGGTGTCAGCTTTGTTTGAATGTAAGAATGTTATAAAGAGAGCATTGAAGAGCAATGCTGGGCAGAGCTCTGGTGGCCAAGGGGTGTGAGGCGTGTACCAGAGATAGGGACAGGGAGGGAAAGGCAGAGGTGCTGCTGCTCTCTGCCTGTCCCCTCACAACTGCCGATACTTTGCAGTGTTTCCTCTCTGTTTGTTTTTCTGCTTCCCCTCTAAACTTTTTGCATCATCCTGGCTGCTTTCCCGAGCTGAGGCTCAGCCCCTCGTTTGCTCACTGGAATC